TGTTCCTGGTTCTTTGCTACTATATAAAAAGTGATACTATAAATATTTAGGTAACTAGAGACCTTTCTTTTTTTATTATTCATTCCTTAGAATATAGACCTAGCAGTGGAATCATCGCAGAGGGTGTCAATATTTTTATCACATTCTTCACGTAATTTCATATTGTAAAAATTTCATCAATTTTTCCATAAGTTAGAATTATTTGTTCTATGGGTTCCGGGTTGTGACTGCTTCAGGAAAGAGGAAGTGTGATGTAGGGAAATTGGAGTCAGAACAGAGAATCAATTCCTGCCTCAGAAACATAGCCAGCTGTGTGATCCTGGGCAAGTCACTCATCTGCTTTTATCCTCAGTTTCTTGATCTGTAAAATGGGACTGGAGGAGGTTGGCTTCCAGATTAAATCTATGACCTTCTAAGACTGGTAATCAATCTGAAATATACCAGAGAGGAAGAATGCCTAAGTTATAAATAAATAAGAAAAATAAAGAATTTTAGGATATGATTTCTAGGGAATCCACAAGACTTTTCTAAGCCTTCGAGGGGTTGGCCTTGAGAAATTATCCTTCTTGCATTAAGCATCCTTTCTCATCTCACAGAAGCCTGGGGACAGAAGCATTTGTAATCTCAGCAGAACAAAGTTCCTTGAAGAGGCTGACCCCAGCACCCCAGCCCTTGTCTGAGCTGCGATAAGGTCTCCAGAGGTGTTAGAGGCAGAATTATCACAGGAGGCTTCAGAAACCGTGACACCTCCAAAGTAACCTTTGGGATGGCACTTGCTTCTCTTTAACTACAACAGAAATGTATTGGTTATATCCCTACTGTGTGCAGAGTATTGTGTTCAACACTGGAGGATATGCAATGAGGGCCACCGTAAGAGGGGCAGTGTTGCACAATGATTAGAAAGTCATGAATTTGAATCCTATCCCTGGCACTTATTAGCTAGAGACCTGGGCAAGTCACTCAATTTTTCTGTGCCTCGGTGGTCTCAACGGTAACATCCTGGCTTTGGACTTGAAGCTTTATAGTCTCTTCTGGCTGAAAATCTATGATCCTATGATAAGTCTCTTGTCCTCTCTGGGCCTCAGTTTCTCATCTGTAATACAAACAGATTGTACTTTTATGGCTTCCAAGATTCCTTCCATCTCTAAATCTATGATCTGATGTTACTGCCCTAATAGAGCTTAAAATCTAATGAGGGAAGAGGTGAGGGGGAGCGTAAGACCTACCCATATAAATTGAAATGAATATTATCACCTGAGAAGTCCACTGAGGGGTTATAAAAGAAAATTAAGATCATGGGATCCTAGACTAAAGCATGAATAGAGCCTAGAGGCCATCCAGTTCAATCCTTTCATTTTACAGATGAGGAAAGTGAGGCCCAGGGAGGCTAAGAGTCCTCATATTATCATATCTCTAGAACAAGAAGAGACCACTAAAGTCATTAAGCCCTCATTTTACAAATGAGGAAAATGAGGCTCAGGGAGTTGATGTGACGTATGCCATGTCCCGCAGGTAGTAAGTATCAGAGACAGGATTTGAACCCAGGTCCTCTGACTCCAAGGTCAGTGCATCAGTTGTCAAGACTGACGCTGCTGTCCTTTGCATTCTGCTGCCTCTGTAAAACTGCTCTTGAAAGACTCAGTCACATTGGAGGTATCCTTATCTGTCAATGGCAACCCCAGGCTCCAGTGCCAATGCAATTGGTATGACCTTGGACATGTAATTTAACTACATTGAGCTTCATCTGTAAAGTAAGGGCAGTGGGCTGGATGACCTATGAGGCCCCTGAGAGAAGGTCTTTAATTCATGGTTCTGTAACAATGGAAGCTATTGGCAGAACTTGACTCCAAACTTGGAAAGGTTAATTCCTCTTCTCCTACCCTCACTTACAGGATTTAGGGTTGGGGAGACACATTAATTAGTGCTCACCTCATCCAACTTCCTCAAGAAATGAGGAAACTGAGTGCCAAAGAGTAAACGTACACTACCCAAGTCCTCACAGTAAGTAAACAGTCACATCAGCACTTAGCCAAGGAATTCTGGGTCACCCTGACTTTTTTAGGAACCCACAAGATGGCACTGCCTCCTTGACTAACTTAATCAACTAAAATTTTTTTTTTTTTTTTTTGCTGGGGTAGCAGGGCTTTGTCAGTACGGCATCCTTTGATGAATGTATTCATTGAAACAGGTGTACTGGATGAAGCTAAAGAGATTGGGGGAATTGGAGAAAGTGTTGAAAAATCCACACTCTCATGTCAGTAGTTAATGTGCTTATTGAATGTGCTCCCTAAGCCTGGAACCAAGGCAATGCTGGCAATATCTGAAGCTTCGTATTTGAATTGTTGTTATCTGCAAGAGTTGTCCTTGGTACACACCTTTTTCCTGCTCTGCATCATCATCTTGGCCAAGTTCCCTGCTCTTGAGCACTTAGTCATCTAGGCTGTTATGAAAATGGTCAACACTCCATTTGGTTTCAGATATCTTCCCCAAAGCAGAGTTGTAGGCATTAGACAAGATTAGGGAGTCTCAGGCTTCCATTTTGCAACCTCAGCAGATCTATGATCTCCTGTTGGGCACTCTCACCATTAGCACAATCGGCAAATCAATCAGCAAGCCATATTAAGGGTAATGATTGAGTGCCAGGCATTGTGCTAGATGCTAGTGATACAAATACCAAAAAAAAATTTACACTCAATCTTTTGGTGTATTGGAGGAAGACAATGCAAATACACACATATACATACATACATACATACATATACTCATATGTATGTATTTGTATATATGTGTATATAAATATGTGGATGTGTGTGTGTGTGTGTGTGTGTGTATCAACAAGTATTAAACAATTAAGAGGGCAGCTAGGTGGTGCGGTAGATAGAACTCTGGGCCTGAAGTCAAGAAGATCTGAGTTCAAATGCAGACTCAGTTACTAGCTGGAGCAAGTCACTTAACCTCTGTTTGCCTCAGCTTCCTTATCTACAAACTGGAGATGATAATAGCACCCACCTCCTCAGGTTGTTGTGGGGATCAAATGAGGTAATAATTGGTAAGTGCTTAGCACAGAGCCTGGCACATAATAGGTGAGGCATAAAATGGTAGCTATTAAGTCTTAAGCGCTTAATATGAAAAAGGTGCTGTGCTAGGCAGTGGGGATACAAAAAGAGAAGTGAAACAATGCCTGCCCTCATGGAGCTTCCATTCTAATAGGGGAGACAAGTAGTTCATATATAAGTATGTATAGAATTATGATAAAAAGAATAAATAAAAGCTTGTTACTAAATGCAAGATAGTTAAAGGAATAGGACATGGACAGTTGTGGAGATGAGGAAAGTGTCATTTTGGTATAGGTCCAAGCTCCTCCATACCTTCCCACCCTGCGCTATTCTTCTCCATGCCTTTCTACAAGTTTCCCATTGAGGATGTGACCAATATGTCCTCTGATTCCTTTCACGGTTTAAGAAGAAATCATAGATGGTAGAGTTAGAAAGGACCTCTGGGGCCATCTATTCCAACGCATGCCTGAACAAGGATTTCTTCTCATTCCTAACAAGAGATTCCCATTGAGGGAGAACCCTAAGTGGCTCAGTCAACTCTGGGATATTAGAGCAAGCCTTGGACCCACCGTCTGGTAACCTTCACCCTTCCATCAAAACTAGTCATACCTCTTGTTCTGGACATCCATGTCTTTGAATGAGATCTTCCTCATAACTTCCATATGCCCAGCTCATCACTGGTAATGTGCCACACCCCACTAACACTAATTGTTGGGCACCTGCCTTTTGGGTCTTTGTGCCAAGCTCACCCCTTTTAATGTGCTTCCGCCTTCGGACAATGACCATGGTCCTTTTTGATTCTTGTATGACCAGGGCATTACATTATTTGTAGCCACATAGCAATAATGGGAGAATAGTGTTGTTTAAAAAATTGGATCTTAGAAATTTGGGACCATTTAAAGTTCTGCATAATTCTCTAGATTCGAACAAGCTTGGTCTTTTCAGAGGCAGAATATACAAAGTACTTGGAGGGGAGGGCACTAGCCATTAGGGAAGATGAGACTAGTCTTCATATAGGATGGAATACTTACTGAACTTTGAAGAAAGAAACTGAATTTTAGAAAGGTAAAGTAACTTGCCAGGATCTCCCAGTGGAAGGAATGATGACTGAAACCCAAGATCTCTGGCAAGCCCTTCCCACAAGACAAGCCCTCTTTCTGCTCTATCATATTGTCTAGGAGATTGGACAAGACCAGGGGTGGGGAACCTGCAACCTCAAGGTCACATGTGGCCCTCTAGGTCCTCAAGTGCAGCCCTTTGACTGAATCGAAACTTCACCAAACAAATCCCTTAATAAAAGGATTTGTTCTGTAAAACTTGGACTCAGTCAAAAGACTGCACCCAAGGACCTAGAAGACCATGGGTTCCTCACTCCTGGACTAGACAAATGATGAGATCTCTTTCAGCTATAAATATGTCATAACCTGGCTGGGTCATCGGGTTCATTTCCTTTTTTTTTTCTTTGTACCTGATCCAGTCTTCTTTCATCTCAGACAGATTAGAATCTATTTTATTTGCATTCACCAGGAAGATGATCCCCTGCCAGAAGCCCATTCTGCTGCCTAATGGATCTGGTTAACAGTGAATCTTCTGTCCCAGTGGATATTCATTACCACTGTCCTCTTGTCAATTGCTTTTGGCTCCAGGCATGTGGGCAAGTAACTTTCTGCTAGCCTGTTGTAGCTAATCAGCATTGTCCCTGCTATACATAAAATGTAATTTAGAAGGATCATAATGGCTTCCAAATGATGATGGTGCCATAACCCAATTAAAATGGTTTTAATAAAACTGTCTTGAGCCAGCATAAACAGCTGCAAACTGTGCCCCATGTTTTCTAATGACCCCCAGAATGAGTGGTGGCAATTTATCTTTCTCTTGAGTGATGAGGCACTGAGAAAAGTCCTTCATTCTGTCTAAATCATCTCATTCTCTTCTTCTCCCCAGACGATCCACGTCGCCATTGTCTGCGCTGGGTACAACGCCAGTCGAGATGTCGTCACTTTGGTCAAGTCTGTCTTGTTTCATAGGTAAAGGAAATGTTTTCCCATCTGTGGGTTGGGATTAATTTAATAAATGATTCAAATATGCCCTTGGGGACAGGAGAAGCTTTAAATGAATAAACAGAAAATTCTCCAAGTTATCTAGGAAGGTGGACAATGTGTAACTTGTTCATAGGAGGGTAACCACTCTAGAAAGAGGCCTGAACGCCATGCTAGGAGATGGTCATTTGAAGGAACTGGAGCTTGTTTGGTCTGTAGAAGAGAACACCTAGTCACATGTTAGCTAGCTTTAAGTGCTTCAGACTGTCATGGAGAAGAGGGGTCATGCATGTTCCTTTTGGCCCCAGAGGACAAAACTGGGAACAATATGGGGGAATTGCTCAGGTAGACTCTGGCTTGATGGAAGGAAAGTCTCCCTAACCATTAAACCTTTCTAGAAGTAGGCATTTTGGTCAGCTTCCCTGCACTAGGAATGTTTGGACAGGGGTTGTGTGAGCTTTTATCAGGGATGCTCCAGAGGGGATTCCTTTTCAAGTATGAATGGGGTTCTCCAAAGCCATCCCATCAAGGAGACTCAGAAGTCAGTGTGGAATGTATGTAAGCTTGGTTATTGTTATGGGGAGACAAGGATGATTCAGTTCACCTGAAGAGATAAGACTGGGTCTGTTACTTAATACCTGTGTGATTTGGGGCAAGCCACTAATCTCTGTGGCCTCTGTTTCCTCATTTATCAAATGAGGAAGTTGGATGAAGTGATTTCCAAGTTTCTTTTCATCCCTAAAACCCACGGTCCCAAGATCCTCATCTAGACACCCCCAAGCATTGCAAGCTCGACATTTCAGTGACCAAGAATAGAGAGGGTCAGGAGATTAGGAAACTATGAATCAGTGATCTCTGGTAGGGGATGGACAAGGGAAAAGGCTGACCTGTGAGCCTGACTTAGCTCATTATGCTCAGGGCCAGGTATTTGTCTTTTGGCCAATGCACTCATGTATGGCTTTGAGAGGCAATGCCAGTCCCAGGGACAAGATAATAATAGTAGATGAATTTCTTTAAAGTTTGCCTTTGTAGGCCTAAAATGTTCTTCTTCGTCTCCTCAGCTTTTAAGAATCTCTGGCTTCCTTTCCCTCAAGCTCAAAACCCTCCCTCTCCAGGAACTCTTTCGTAGCCCTTCCCCATAACTAATGCTCTCCCATCTAAGGTTCCTTTCCCTCTGTATTCATTTGCACTTTTTTGAGTGGGTCAGGGTGGGGTTGGGGGGCGCCATTTTCTTTCTTGGAATGTAAGCTCTCTGAGGCCAGGAATTGTCTTTGTTTTTGCTTCTCTTTTTGTATCCAAAGCACTTAGCAAATGGCTGACACATGGAGGTCAAACCTGATTTTCTCTCTCTCTGTACCTAGGTGCCCAGGGGGTGGAAGTGGGAAAAGAGGGGGAAGTATCAGAGGTGAACATGGGATTTCATCTCTGGAGGAATTTCCTGATCGAGAAACTCCCTCCACCAGTGTAGGGCATCAGCTGTTCCATGGCTCATCGTCTTAGAAAGGTGCCTAGAGGATGGAGAGGCTAAGTGACCTATCCGGGATGGTTCAACCTCAGAAACTGCCATGATTTTATCAGCGGAAATGGCATCAAGGAAGCGGCATAACCGTCTGATTTGCTGCTGCCCCTAAGGACTAAAGATTTTTCTTCTGACTTGCAGCTGAAACTTTCCAATCTGTGTTGCCTCCCCCAAAAGAATGGGCCCCCTTGAGGGCAGGAGCTGTCTCCCTTTTCCCTTTGTGTTGCCAGGGCTGAACTCTGTGCTTTGCATGTTGTAAGGCCTTATGAATGCTTTATTCACTCATTCCTTTGTTTATTCATGTGTCAGAGACTAGACTTGAACCTGGGTGTTCATTATTCAGAGGCTGTGTGTCTGTCTCCTGTGCCATATTGCCTTTCATCCCCATTTAACAGATGAGAAACTGAGGCTCAGAAAGATTAAGTGATTTGCCTAGATAAGTCTTACTAATTCAGACACACTATACCACCTCTCTTTCTCTCAGAAATCATATGAGAAGCTATCTATTCCAGCCCTGTAGCAGCTCCCATATCTATAGTCCTTTACAAAGCTTTATTGGTGAAGATTTAAGACCCAAAATTTATAAGTGGTACTATGTATTCTAGGCACTGAGAATATAAAGGGGAAAAACAAAAATCAGCTTATTTCCTCAAGTGGATGAGTAGTGAGCTCCCCATCACTGCAGCTATTCAAGATGTAGCAAAGACTTGTTTGGAGTGCTGTAGAGGGGATTCTTGCTCCAGGCAGTGTGTCAGACAAAATGATCTCAAGAGTCCCTTTCAGCTTTATGATTATATGAACTGATTAATTTAATAGATCAGGGTGATCATGTATGCGTGAGAGAGGGAAGCAAAAGAATTTGAAACTTTTCTTCCACAGCCAGCCAGGCTATAAATAGAACTGCTTTTCAAGCACATTTCAGGGATTAACTAATATGTGATTATAAAGTACTTTGCCAAATGAAATACCTTCCTCATGCTAAATAATAATATAATAGTAGCTGTGCAAGATGTCTCTTTGGGGTCTATTTGCTAATTATGGTAATTATATTCACTCTCAGACAAGGTTTTCCCCAAATCTTCAGTCAAGACCTACTTTGTTGTCTTAAATCATTTTCATTTCTCGAAGATGCCTGGATGCAATAGCCATTAAGAATTTTAAAAGGAAGGGGCAAATTTGCTTTGGAAGTCGATTCGAGGACTAGAGTGTGAAAAGGAAACCCAGAATCCAAATAATTGCTTGTGTTTCCTCTTTCTCCCTGACCTATGGCACCCAATTCTCTGCAGTGAGAATTGAAAGCTCTAGTCCAGACTTCTCACATTAGCAGGGACAAAGAGAAGCCCAGAGAGGGGGAATAATTGAACCAAGGTCACGTGGGGACTAGGTAGTTATCAGTAAGGACCTGCTGTGAATGAAATGGCCCCTGCCTTCATGGTGCTTATGTTCTGTTGGACAGAGACAACATGCCCATGTGGAGGTCTATACAAAAATCCTTCCAAATCATTTGGGGCTTTTGTTGGTTTTTCAGAGGAAGGCACTAGTATCTGGGGGGGAATTCAGGAGAGGCTTCATGGAGAAAGTGATACTTGAGCTGACTTCTGAAAGCAAACAAGAATTGTAAGGGGCAGAGATGAGGAGGGAGGGAATTCTAGGTTGGAGGCCAGCTGGTGCAAAGCAGAGTCAGGATACTTGACTCCCAATCTATTCCCTTATTCTCTATAACCCAGTGATTTCTTATGATGAGGAGGGTTATACTGACAGGGCAGGGATATGAAAAGAACATTGTGTTTGGAGTCACAAGGCCTGAATTGAAAACCTAGCTGCCGCCTGTGTGATTGAGAACAAATCCCTTGGTATCCGTTCACCTCATTTTCCTCCTGGGGAGGGGGTGGAGTAGATGCCTGCCGAGGGGAAGCCTTTCCTACTTCTGTCTTTAAACTAAAATAAAATTACCCCCAGTGTATATCAACAGCAATGAAATTCATTTGCACAGTCATCTGACCTAACGTGACTGCAAGTGTCAAAAAGGGTGGCTACCAGTCTGGTTTGTTGATGTACTCGTGAATAGCTCTTCTCCCTGGTAGGGAAAAATGGAGTTTAATATGTTGGTGGTGGTGGTGAGTCATTTCAGTCATATCTGACTCTCCATGATTCCATTTGGGATTTTCTTGGCAGAGATAATGAAGTACTATTTCATTTTTACAGATGAGGAAACTGAGGCAAACAGGGTTAAGCGACTTGCCCAGGGTCACACAGCTAGCGAGTATCTGATGCCACATTTGAACTCAGATCCTTCTGATTCTGGGCCTGGTACTCTCTCCACTGTACCACCTATTAAATAAAGGAAAATGAAAACTTTATGGTAAGGTGGAAAGTATGTTGGCTCTGGGGTCTGAGGACTCGGGTTTAAATCCAATCTCTTATACTTGTTTGGGACTCAACTTCCTTATTTGTAAAATGAGGGGGTTAGACAAGGTGGACTCTGGCCTAATCTGTGATCCTATGACCTCTAAGTTTCCATCCAGCTTGTTTCTAGCCTCAGTTCAGGTCTTTGGAATGAAGATGAGCTAGCAGACAAAGCGTTAATGTTTCTGTGCAAAAGTGTCCTGGTCACATGTATGGTGGCAGTCTTCTCAGAAATAAATGAGAACATTACTCCCTTCCAGCTTTCTTTTAATAAATGTTGATTGATCGATTAGCTGTTTGATTGATTTGGGACATCAGGTCATTTAGCCTTGTCAAGACTGGTTCCCCAGTCACTGTAAAAATAAGGACTCAGTTGTATAGACAAAAGATGTGTGTGTGTGTGTGTGTGTGTGTGTGTGTGTGTGTGCACACGTGCATGTGTGCATGTTCATGCATGCACATCCTTCATCTCCCTACCCGGACTCTAACTCAGCAAAACTGGTACTAGACTTTCCTGGACACTGGTCCCATCTTCCCTAGAGCTACAGATACCCGTGATTTTGATTCCAGAGTGTCAAGTAAAGGCAGACAATTTGGGCAAGGAAGATTGGAGGTCATTGAGGCAGTACTGGCAGGGCACAGTCTTGGCATCAGAGGGCAGTGCGGTTTAGTGGAAGGAATGGAGGACTAAACCACTAGGGGTCTGGGTTCGAATTCAATCCAATCCAACTTAGTTCAATTCAATAAGTATTTGTTAAATATCTGCTCTGATCCAGGAGATGGGAAGAGAAACAGTCCAAGCCCTGAAGGAATTTGGTCAGTTCTCAGTGTGTGGTGGACGGAAGGCTGGGGCAGAATGGGAGAAAGAGACCTGAGGCTGGGCTCTCCAGCTGGGGGAGTGAGTGAGAACTGATCTAACCCACCTGCCCAGGGATGCTTCCTAGCCACCAGGGACGTCTAGTCTTGTCCCCTTCCTTTTTCCACTTCATGTTTCATGTCCCACCTTCTAGTGAAACCTTTCCTGACCCCCACGTGGCTCCTTATTCCCCAAATTACCTCATTA